TTAAAAAAAAGAGGTTTGTACCTATGTTATTTGCTTATTCTTGCTTATATCTTGTAATATAAGAAACTACTTTGGCAATAACAGCACACAATGTACTAACCATTGTTACTCTCCTAAAATCTTGTTTTGAGATTTTGTACCATTGTTTTTATTTTTTTTTCTTTCTTTAAAATAAAAATAACTGATGTCAAAAAAAAAAAGAAAAAGAAAAAGAAAAGAAAATTATAACAGCTTAGCTTACAGTTCTGTAGCTCAGAAGTCCCAGGTGCTCTTGGGTCACTTCTCTACTTAGGGTTTCACAGGCCAAAACAAAGATGTTAACATGGCTGGACTCTTCTTTAGAGGCTTTCAGGAAGAATCCATTTCCAAGCTTATTGCTAGAATTAGAAGAATTCATTTCTGTCTTTAAGAATGGGATCCCCCCTTCTTTGCAGTCAGCCAGGAGTTAGTCTCAGGTTGCACACATTCCTTGGCATATAGTGAGTGCCCTCCAGCATAGCACGTCAAACCCTTTCCATCTTTTAAATCTGACTTCCTCTTCTGCTACTGTATAAGGAGGAAAAAAATTGTTTTTAAAAGGCTCACATGATTAGACTGAGCCCAGCTTGATTACTCCACTTTTACCATAAAATTTTATATAGTCACAGTTGATGAGTATGATCTCACTAAATTAACAAGTTCCACCCTGTAGTCAAATTGATAGTTTATAAAAGGGCAAGGGTCATTTTTGGGTCCTTAACAGTTCGCCTGTCATGACCGTAACAGAAACAAGAAAACATTTTCTACAGAATTCCTTTCTTTTCTGTATTTTAGGAAAGGGTCTACAGGTTATTCAGGGTCTCACTACTAGATCAGACTCATAGTGATTCTCCTATTTACAGCCTCCAAAGTGCTGGGATTACAGGCACACGTCATCATGCCCAGTCTCAATTGCTGGCTCAGCAAGCCCTGGGGGGGGGGGGCAAGGCCTGCACAGCAGGCCACGGAATCAAACCCCTGGCCTCTTGGCCCCTGTGCCTGCTTGCAGGTGCTTTAATCCACTGAGCTATTTGGCCAGCCTTCTACTGAATTCAACAATGATTTTTGTTTGTTTATACTTAACCTTGTTGTAAAGAGGATTTGGGGTTCCTAAGTAATTTACACCAAAAAAAAAAAGTTACAGAACTAGTGATTTATGGAGGAATGTAGGTCAAGTCTCCAAGACTTAGGGAAAAGATTAAAAGCTGCCTTTGTATAAGTAAGCCTTTCTCTCTCTCTTTCATTTGTAACAAGGTCTCACTGTACAGCTCAGACTTGTAGTGATCCTCCTATTTCAGCTGCCTCAGGGCTGGGATTATAGATATGTGCCACGAAGCTCAGTCTCCATGGCCAGCACAGCAAGCACAGCATCCCTGTGCTTGCATAAGCAGGCCCTTAGTCCACTGAGCTATCTCGGGGCCGTGCCTCTTTCTCTTCCTGAGGTGCTCTGTCTTTTTCTTTTTTCTCTTTTTGCTAAAGCAGTGAATGCAAATGCAAAGCAATTGTCAAGAAGACCACTGGTCTCTCTGTGGTCATAGTAAGAAGCAGACTCTACTGTAAACTGGGAATTTAGGGAACTAGATAATTTCATTTTATAGATCTGAAATTCAACCTTTTTGGTCTCAACATTCGATTATTGAGGCCTCTGAAGCTTTTTGGTTGGTAGGTTATACTTATTGATATTTATCACATAATAAATTAAAGGTGGAATGTTTTTTAGGCATATATACATGTTCTTCGCCTATACAGTGATGATATAATCCCACATTATGAAGCCTCTGGGTGTGAAAGGGAACAAAGCCTTAGTATGACCAGAAATAGCTTTGACCTTGTGGAAATTGCAAAGGTTCCAAGGATCTCCATAGCTTGACAAGACTCAGCAAGAGATATAAATACCACAAACTGTATTTACTCATAGATCGGTCAACTGACCTATTTTGGTGCATTCACTTGTACAGTCTTAGAGACAAATCTTTGCCTTCGTTAGTATCTTGTTCCATCTGCAAATTCATTTTTATTCCTGAAAGTATGCTTGTTCGTTGAAAAAAAAAAAAAAAGTGTGATTTGCTCTCACAGGTTCACAACTGAAGCACGTAGATCACAACATATAGGAAAAATTGCCTTAAATAATGCAGCTTTGTTTGCAGTGTATTAGGGCAGAGGCCGGCTGAGTGAAGTAGAAAGGCAGAGAAAGAAAGAAAGAAAGAAAGAAAGAAAAAAAAAAACCACTAGCGATTCTTGTCACGTGTTGCCTTTGAAAACTATGCCAAGATTTTGTTGTTGTGTTTTGTTTTTAAATGTAGAAATTAATTAAGTGAATATTTTAATGACTCAGGATTTTGCTCTTTTCCTTCTGATGCATAGGCGATGCTGTACAGTTAGGTGGCTTGTTGTTCTTTATATCCTGCTCGCAAAAATAAATGTGAGGAAATAAAGCTAAAACCTTTTCATGGGGACTTCACGGTCCTTGTGACTAGCTCGTTCACTATTTTCACAGTATGTTCTACTTCCCTCTAGTCTGTCTCTAGGTGAACGTCTCGAGCGCCCGCCGAGATCCTGGGACTCCCGTGGCTTCCGAGGCAGATAAATAATAGTTTAAAACCTGAAAACTGAAGAGGAAAGGTTTTGCACTCTCCACACCAAGGTTATTGGTCACTGAGTCTCTCAAGGAGGAGGGTGGTGACTGAGACTGAAGGGTGACTGTGGGGCAAGCTCAACTGAGGCTGGACTCCAGGTCGCGTTCCACACCGGGGTGACTGGCCGAGAGCCTCCGGCACCAGCAAGAACCTCCTGACTAGTCGGGGAGTCTCCGCTGAGCTCCACCCCGGACCCGATGTCAGCCTTCTGGCGCGCCGCCGCGGCCGCCGGTCCGCCTCTTGACCAATGGGGGAGAAGCCGCATTTCAGACGTCTGCTGTGATTGGCTGCTAGTCGCGCGGGGGTGGGAGGTCCATAAAGCTCCGCCCCGGGCATCTGCGCGTCCTGCGGCTGGTAGTGTTGGCCGGCACCCATCCTCAGTCAGGGCGGCCCGGAGCGAGCAGGGGGGTTTGGGCAGCCTCCCCGCGCTTCTGGTCTCGGATGGATGTGTCGGGCCCGGTTTCTCGGCGGGCGGCCGCGGCGGCCGCCACCATGCTACTCCGCACCGCCCGTGTGCCGCGGGAGTGCTGGTTTCTGCCCACCGCGCTGCTCTGCGCCTATGGCTTCTTCGCCAGCCTGCGGCCATCCGAACCTTTCCTGACGCCCTACCTGCTGGGACCAAACAAGAACCTGACTCAGCGGCAGGTGAGCGGGCGGGGCGGGGCGGGGCGGGGCGTCCTGGCGCGGCTGCGGAGGCTGGGGGTGGGGTGGAGTGCGGTGGAGTGGGGTGGGATCTCCTCGACTCCCGCGCGGGTGGGCTGCAGGCGGCGTCGGATGCTCTGTTGGATCTCGGGCCGCGGTTTTTGCAGCGGGTGGGGGGGGGGGTGATGTTTTGATAAAGAAATGAAAACTGTTAGCTGCACTTCAGAAGAGCCAGAAGTTCAGCAAATACTCATTGCCTGAAAGTCGGTAACCGCTGCTCTTAGTCCAGGGTCTTCCCTCTACCTCCACACCTCTTGGCTTCCGGTCCTCGTTTTGCTGACCTTTTATAAGACGGTATGCTCCTCAAAGAAGGATGGGCCCGGACAGGAATTGGTCTTCGTTTGTCTTGACTCTCAATTAGGTGAGGTTGTATCCGAAGATACAGTCCTCCTCCCTTCTAAGCCCCATCTCCTGTGATAAATGCAGATGATATCACATAATCGGCTCTTAATTATAGTTTTTCTTGAATTGTGGATTGTTATTGCATGTGTGTTACATTTTCTTCTCAACTACAAGGTGAGCTCTTTAGAGCTTTTGTACCTGCTGTCATGCTTAGGGTAACAAACCCTGTAGTCCATGATCAAGAACTTGCTGATTGATTTACCTGAGATGAGGACTTCTAAGTACTTCTGAAATGCGCAATTCTTTAGAATACTTTGACTCGAATTTATAGTTAATCCCACTACTTGCTTTCTGCAGAACAGAAATTTTATGTAAATGGACAAGCAAATTAAATCCAAGTGCTAATGCAGAGCCAACATAAGGCAGATTCCGTATGCCTTTCCTTGAATATTACAAAGGACAAGAGCTGACATCTGCTATTCTTTCCCCTACTTTCAGCTGTTAAGAGCACAGGTTAACTGTCCCTTTTTTCCTACACCCCAGTTTTCCTCTCACCCTGCCTCCCTGCCCTAGTTGCTAAGAAACACTCCTCTCATTTGAACCAGTCTTCCTGGTGTTATTAGTACTCAGTCATCTCTACCGAGTAGCAGGTCAGTACCCCAGCCTAACAGGTCAGAGCAAGAGTTGGCACTACCAGAGTCGTTTGCAGACTGGTAGGATATAATTACTCAGTCCAGTTCCCTGCTGCAGTGTGCCTTCGTTTTCAAGGGCATTTGAAAGGGAGTTGAGAGTCAAGTTTTGATTGCTGGATTCATTTGAGTTATGTTGTTTCACTGTAGCAACTTTTACGCAGACCTCAAACTATCTGTTTCTCAGTCTTACCGATCATGACACAGGGGACTGTTACAATTATTATCTATTTGAATTTTGATGCTTGTTAAAGTGAAAGATGAAATTCGTGTAAACAGAATTTTATAAGAAAAAGCTACTGCATTGATGAGAGAGTATTTGATTCTGGAGACTCCAAAAAAACACCGAATCTGAGGTGTAGTCACTGCAGCAGAAATGCTACTGCTTGTAAGGTGGCAATTAAAGTTTCATATGAAATGCCCTGTAGTCTGCACAGTTTGTGCACCTTGCCTCACAGAAAAGCATTGGGGGAGGAGGCTGCAGGAATGCTGCTCCTGTTATTTGAAAGCCAATCTGTTGTCTCGTGCTGTGCGCTGGGTAGATCACGTGTGCTGTGTGTGTGTTAAACACGTGTTCTGTCTTAATCAGATAGCTTTCCAGGGTGAGTGAAGTACATTCAAGGGGCTTGGAAAGAAAGCAGAATTGCTGGGCCCAGTAAATATTTGTTGGTCATGTGACCAAAAAACCATGCATCTGTTACTGCAGATTAGGTGAAGAGAAAGGGGTTTAAAGAGAAATCTGGGAGTCTGGCACCTAAGCATGTCATTTGTTTTTCAGATCTTTGAAATCTTGGCTGATTCTGTTGACTGTACACAGTAGGGCTCTGCTTCCCCTGGGGAGAACCCTAGGTTTCTTTTGAATAACTAATACTGAAATAAATAGGACAACTTGCATTCTTTGAGTACTTGTTTTCAGCAATGGACAGCTTAATAAAATATATTCCATAATTTTTTTTTTAGCAAAACAAGTACCAAGTCATGTTCAGTGACATTTCTGCTGACGTTTTCATTTATCCCTGAAGGGCCAAATTGAATCGTTTTAAATGAAGTATTATTACCAAGGTGAGAAAGACAGTTTCCTCCATATTTCACTTTCTAAGAAAACTTTCTTAGATTTTAAGAAAAGCATTGACTTTTAAAGTTACCTCTCTCTAAATTTTAACCAAGTTGACATTTGACTGTATTCTAACTGTTGAAAACCAAACTTCTAATAGTGCTGTTTGATATTTATCCAGTTTCATTTTTTTAACCATTCCACATTCTGCTCGATATTCAGAGCCTTACGAAGTTTGATTTTGGCCTCCCTGATAGTGTTCTCTCAGTACACCCTTACTCCCCTCCATGCTTTCCATATATCAAAGTTTCATTCATAGTAATTTTATGATCATAAATCTGGCATAGCTACAAACTCTATAATCTGTTGTCCTATACTTAAAGATATGATATCTGCTTAGAATTTCCCCATATGTACCTGTTGACACCATTCAGTTAGCCTCTTTCTTGTCCTTCAAGATCCATCTCAAAAAATAAACCTGTATTTCCTGTTTCTGCTGTAAATATTGTGTGTATGTATATTGCTCACTAGGTTCAGAACTCCTGGAAAGCTGGGGCTTCATTTCATTCTTTATTGTTGTCTCTGTACAGGTTAAGAACAGTGTTGTCCAATTAAGAGTTTAATTGAAACTCAGTTTTAAAATTCTGAACTAGAGCTTATAATTGAGCATTAAGTTTCCCTAGGCTTTTTGTATCTCAGAAGAAAGCACATGCAAGCTTTGATCCAAAGAACTGTAAAAGATACACTGAAGAGAAAAAACTGAGATCCCTTTGATCACATGACAGATTTTACCTGAGGTGAGATGTTAGGTCTGGACAATGTGAAGTAAATGTCTGGATGATGTCTTGGCCTAATTACCTGCCTATGATATGAACATTTTTGCTGGCAGGAAGTTCCCCTTCCGGAGTTAAAGTGTCTGCCAAAGAAGTATTTTCTAATGCTAGAGGGGGCCTCCTTTGGAGACCTAGTAGCAAGCTCTAGAGATTATATGATCTTTATCTCTTGAGATACCCTATAAAAGCACCTCCAGACAGACTGAAAGAGCTCACATAGATATCAGAAATCACCTTGAAGACCGAGATGTGGTGGCACAGGCCTACAATCCCAACACTGGGGAGGCTGAAGCAGGAGGATCACTCTAGTGGATCACTCTGGGCTGCATAGTGAGACCCTGTCCCAAATACATAAAATTTTAAAAAAGAAATAATTTTGAAACATAGTGGATCGTAACAGTGTTCTGGTGGAAGAAATAGGCGTTTTAGTGTGGTAGGTTTGGAATAGTTGATTCAGAGTATTAGTTTCATATCCTTTATTTGCCAACCCATGCTGGGATAACTTTGGATAATTTACTTAATCTTTCTCTAAGGTGAAGTGTCATTTATTGTAAAATAGAGATGACAGAAGCATTACCTTGTAGGATGCTTGTTGGGTTAGCTGGGGCTAAGTTAGGTAAAATGTTTTAGTGTGGTGTGTAGCACATCTATAGAGACTTTCTATTATGAAACTGATAACAGTAGAGGAACAGTCCCCTTGGGTTGATGTCTCTCACAGTAGAAAATAACTGGTCTCTCAATTAGAGTAAGTTAAGGAGAACCCATGTGGATTCCTCTGAAGACTCCCCACCCCCACTATGCCCTGCCTTTATTTTTCCACTTGGCTTTACAAGGCTAGTGGTGTTGCTTCCCCTCATCATCATGATCAAACTTGTGCTTCTGGGTGAAGAGAAGAATTAGGTTCATGGGTACTAGACACTTTAAATTGATATTAAAGGATGGGATTTATAGAATGAAAATTTGCCAACTAATTATTTAGGACGAGTATTACTGAAAATTGTATAACCTGTTTAAGCAGAGACAATATTACTGAAGAGTCAACCAAAGACCTAAAACAAAAGATGATGGGGTGCTGAAGGAATAGAAAAAATTTTTAATGTTTCATTCAATGTTTAGTAATAGTAATTGTACATATAATTAGTATTTCCCTCTATCATTTTATTATTTGGAACCTTTGAGCTTCTTTCTTATAGTTATTCCTGAAACATATATCATAGGTTGTTGTGAGCTGTAGTTGTCACTGTGCTGTGAACAAAATGTTTACTTTCTCGTGCTTTGGTGCCCATTATCCAGCCCCTCTCTACCCACCCTCTCTCCCTCCCCCTTAGCACTCGCTCTCTTATATATTTTTTATATCTACTTTTCTAGTCCCCACATGTGAAAGACAGTATGTAGTATTTGTCTTTCTGCACCTGGCTTATTTCATGTAACATAATTGCCTCCCTTTCCATTGGTTTTGCTGCAGATGATGGGTCTTCATTGTTCATTATGAAGCAATATTCCTCCATCATGTGTACATGCCATATTTTTATTTCTTTTTAAATTCCTTTTATTGGTACACTGCTGATATAGAGTACGTAATGATCACATTCATCATAAAGAATTTGTACCTGTACTAGTATGTCTTCATTCTTTTTTCCTTGCTCCTCCCCTCCCTTCAACCCTCCTTCCTCTACTTATCTCCAAAAACCTTGTTTCATTCCTTTATTTTTTTCCATTTCCCTTCCTTCCCTTCTCCCTGCTCCCTCCCTGTTCCCCTTCCCTGTTGAATATTTTCTGACTACTTAATATTTGTCATCTGTTTTCGTCCTTATTTACACTTTCCATTTCTCACACAAGAGTGCCATATTTAAACGCATGTGTCTGATTTCTTTCACTTAAAAGTATGTTCTCAAGTCACCTCCATTTTTACCTAAAAATATCTCAAGTTTATCCTTCTTTATGACAAAGTAGTGCTCCATTGTATACAGAAATCACGTTTCATTTACCCATTCATCTGTTGGGCATCTGGATTATTTCCAAGAT